TATGTGTGGAGAAAACCAGGCACTGCTCATCACTTGTCCAATACAGTCCCAACAGTGAAGCATGGTGGTGGCAGCATCATGCTGTGGGGGTGTTTTTCAGCTGCAGGGACAGGACGACTGGTTGCAATCGAGGGAAAGATGAATGCGGCCAAGTACAGGGATATCCTGGACGAAAACCTTCTCCAGAGTGCTCAGGACCTCAGACTGGGCCGAAGGTTTACCTTCCAACAAGACAATGACCCTAAGCACACAGCTAAAATAACGAAGTTCACAACTCACAACAACTCTGTGACTGTTGTTGAATGGCCCAGCCAGAGCCCTGACTTAAACCCAATCTCTGGAGAGTGGAGAGACCTAAAAATGGCTGTCCACCAATGGTTACCATCCAACCTGGATTTGGGGATCCTCTGCCATTCCTCCTTGCAGATCCTCTCCAGTTCTGTCAGGTTGGATGGTAAACGTTGGGAGCAAAGGGTCTGAATACTTAGGACCATGTGATATTTCAGTTTTTCTTTTTTAATAAATCTGCAAAAATGTCAACGATTCTGTGTTTTTCTGTCAATATGGGGTGTTGTGTGTACATTAATGAGGAAAAAAAAATAACTTAAATGATTTTAGCAAATGGCTGCAATATAACAAAGAGTGAAAAATGTAAGGGGGTCCGAATACTTTCCGTACCCACTGTATATGGGTGCTTGTTAATACAAATTATCCAGTTGTTACAAATATACAATTAAAAAATGGGCACTCCCTCACTCTCTGAGCCTGCTTCTGCCTCATCTTCAGTGGAAGTAGGGGAGACTGGGGTAAGTTCAGCCAGTGGGTAAGTGGACCCACCCCCCGTTTCTTGACAACTGTACACTTTTACTGTCATGTGACCATGTTTTTTGGAACCATCCATCATTTCTGCCACACTGTGAAAAGGAGAAACACATGGGGGGAATGGAAGGCACCCATTTACTTTAAAAACTTGTCAAAGTAAAATTTTTGCATAACAGATGTAATGGTTGTTATATCAAAGCAAATTTATCCAGGTCTAAAAATATTTATGATACATATAGGTGATTTAGCAACATATAAAACCATGCAAATCATTTAGCTAAATATTAGCATGAACTGAAATATGACTGTTTGTAAAAGGAAATTATTAAATTAGTTTTTTAATTATTATTATTTATTTCACATGGGTTTGAATCAGATTTGGTCAGATGGTCATTTTACACCCAGATGCTGCATCTTACCCACTGACTCGACTCGGGTCAACTTACCCCAAACCCGGGGCAAACTGAGCCATGGGAACACTTTTATTATAAGAAGCCATATTTTTAGAACCCTTTGTCATAGATACATTCTGATCATTTAAAATGATAGTAATACTTTCATTAGGATATACTTTCATTGTACTTCTGCATCATTTTAACTTATCTTGAGGACCACATAAGTAAAAAAATGGCCAATCTAGTATCAAGAAAGTGATTATAAAGGGAAATATACTTAATTACAATAATTAAAGTGTGACAAACTGCTATTTACTGAATGAGCACTGTGCAATGTCCGAACTGATTGCACTATATTTGATGCATAATCATTTTCTGTTCTTAACTGTTTTAAATTCGTTTTAAACCTCTTAAATCAATTTTTAAATAATTTGAAAAGTTTTAAATTCCTTGTTTTATCGTTGTCATTATTTTTTATTATTATTATTTTATGTAAAGCATTTTGAATTACCACTGTGTATGAAATGTGCTATATAAATAAACTTGCCTAGTCTTCACTTGTAAACTGATGGAGATATTCCAGCATTTATTGCTGAATTACAGTGGGAGGAGCTTCACTGATGATGCGATTCTTGTGGGAGGAGCTTCATTGAAGGTGAATTGCAGCATGTGAGGAGCTATCTGCCAAAATAAAAAATATAAAAAATATAACTTACTGCAGATCGTTTCCACAGCACAATATGAATAGGTTTTTTTTTTCAAATAATGGTAACAAATATAGTTGAAAACATAAACACAGAAATGAATCTACAGATTTGTAACCAACAAATGCCCTCAGTATTGACACCAGATCTCCTGTAAATTGCCACTTAAAGCTAATTTCATTGAAGACATCAGCATAATAAATGAGGAGAAAACAGGAACTATTGACATGAAATAAAGAGTCTTTTCAGCAGCTCTGTTAATATTGATGAGCCTCAGACGATCAACACTCATTCAACAAGACATTCAGGATCATCAGCAGATCATCTCTCTTTATCCTCAGTGTTTGCTGATAGAAACACATTATTTGAGTCAGGATATATGATAAAAGCCTACAAGTGCTCGAATGAAAGATACTGTTATTTTTCACAATGTGACATGGATAAAACATAATACAAAAACGCTAATAACAATAAATGAATACATATCAACAACACCATAGCCTAACATGTCCATATGAATCTTAATATAGTTTGGTTTTCTAACTACAGTAATTACAGTAAAGTAATTAGATAATTAACATTTTACAGTTTTTTTTTCATATAGAGAAACTGACAATGATCATAAAACTTTTAAAAATAAAGAGCACCAGCAATATTTAACGTTTTCTTGTGTCAGAATTAATTAATATTTGTCTATATTCACATTTATGAATAGATTTGAAATTTCCCTCATTAGGCTACGCATTACAGCGACAATAACGTGTTTAGAAGTCATATTTAATTTAAACAAGTAGGCTAAGCATAATCTGGCCGAGATTTGTTGCTACGCCCCTGTTTGTGCAAATATAACGTAGCTACAATAAAGAAAGGTAAACTAAAAATAGAAGTACAATAAATAAATAAATAAATAAATAAATAAATAAAGCTCGGGTGAATGAAAATCCTCGGAGTGTCCAGCAGGTGGCGCCAGATCTTTATTCAAACACAGACAAACCCCGCCAAAAATAACAAGCAGCAGAGTCTTCTGAGGAGAGTTCAGCAGCTCACGGTATTTCTCATATTTACACAACTATCTAACACACTTTATACAGTCTGTTTAAGCGACATTTTACAGGTTCATGTCTGTATTGTTTTCATCGGGTTCAGCGCTACTTGTGCATCTTTTCTGGCGTCTTTCTACTGAAATAAACATTTAGTGCAGCAGCAGCAGCATGTGAGGAAAATATGATGAATTAATTCAGACGATTTTGTGAGCTTTTATGCGTTCGTGCGATTGTTTCTATGTTTGTAGTGAGAACTGTTGCTGAATGTCAAGTTAAAACATTGATATGTGAGGGGAATGATCAAGTGTGGCTGCTGCCATTTTATTTCTACACTTTTGACATCTTTGTTCAAATATACTGAAACAGAGACTGCTAACGTTACACTGAGCCTATAATGAGCATTTGATGGTCATTGTTTGTTTCTGTACAAAACTTTAATGAGTTAATGGTAACACTTTACAAGAACAGTACATGATTTATCATGTACTAATACCTGAATTAATAACTACTTGACTATGAACTAATGATGAGTTAAGATATGTATTAATCAAGAACTAATGAAGAACTAACTTAACTACGACATGAGTCATATGAACTACTGCATGAATAATACTACCTTAATTACATGTTAGTTCCTGCATGTTAGTTAATGTATTAATTAACACTTTGGGGTAAACTAAATCAAACACGCTCTAGAAGCAAGATGTATGAAAATGGCACAATGTAAAATTGTTTATAAATTTGACGGTGTTCAGCTAATAAAGATCCTCAGCGCAGGCCAACAGCAGAATTTGCAGATTTAGCTTCAGTTGTCTGAAGGTCTTTATGTTCTCCCTGTTCTTAAATTTCCAGGTATGAATGAGAAACTGCTTCAGATGATTCAGTGCATGCAGGGAACTGAACAAATCATTCAAAGTGATTCGTGAACAAATGCACACCGTTTTGCAGGCTTCTTTGTTCAAGACCTTGAACAGAATCGACTCAAAAGAGAGATTCATTCGTGAATGGGGCATCGTTCATGACCCAGATAAAAGAGCGCACT